GAAAAGGGATATCATATTATATATATATATTATATATATTACAAGCCAAAGATCGCTCACTGTTGGGAGGGGGAATAGCTAAATTTGAGCACTATTGTCGGTAAATGAGCTTAGATCGGAGTAAGAAGAGATGGGTTGGCACAGCACAACATCGTCGGCATATTTCAAAACACTTGCATGAGAACCACAAGGAATGTCACGGATGAAGGTAGAAAATAAGTACGGGGATTGCACAGCTCCTTGAAGAACTCCGGCGTTGACTTGGGAAAGCTTCATCCTAATCCTTCGTTGAAAACTTCGAAGTTCTTACTTACTTACTTACTTACTTACTTACTTACTTATTTACTTACTTACTTACTTACTTACTTACTTGTTTGTTATACTTGGCATTTAGCTGTCCACGGATTAGAGCCCAGAAATACTTTTGCGAGATTAACTCCAGTCAGTCCTGTTTGCGCAGATAAGGTGACTAAAATGCGCTACCACGGTGATTGACGACTATCTTTAGTAATAAGTTAATTATGTGAAACATGCATATAGTAGTAACCATAAAAAATGTGTGTATTTTTCTACCCAATCTGTCATGCAATCATAATAACAGATGCTGTTTGACCAATCAGCATTCTCCATAATTTCCGTTCCTCTCTTTGATCACATTACGACATACTGTTAGTGAGTGGTTGATCATCTTGTCAGGAAAGATTTTGTCGATGTGTGCGTGTGCGTATCGATTGAAATGTTTCCACATATAAGGGGAACACTATGCGGACGGAGCATCTTGGTTTCCCTACAGCGGGAAATGTGGTCTCGTTAGGTAAAAGACGAGTGAGGAAAAATCATTATAGTTATTCGCGTGAATACGAGACATCTGTGAGGCACAATTATTTTAATTGGTTACTCTCATTCATGTGGGTGACCCGTTTGCCAAATGAGACAATCCAATACCGGGAAGATTGGGGACTTTCCCACACGTTTCTAGCGACTGAAATACACAAATGTTCCGGATTGATTGACATTTTATTTAGTAACAGTTTGTAGTTCCGTAGATAAACCCAAGGGACAAATTGTAATTGTTTGTTTAAAGTTGTATCTATCCGGTCCTTTGATCGGTTGCCGAGTGACATTGAAGAGAATGTGCACCGTGACGTGAAAGCGGCTTGTTTGAAGTGCACTGTTGAAGTGAAAACACAGGCGCAGCCATTTTGAATTTAGAGTGAGTGGTGTGCATGTCTCCCGCTGGACCCCCTTTCGTTCATGATTGCTTTTTGTATTTTCCCTGTCTTGCAAATTGTTTGGAAGCCTCCTCCACGGAGAACCTATTGTGAGAAGTGTGTCCTACCTGTTCATTGAGAGCGTCATTGTGTGGCCAGGGGTTGTTCGGCCTATTGGAACAACGCTAGTGTTGTAAGAGCTCGGACTTCGTTGCCCGGAGTCAACTTCCGAGTGTTTCGATTAGATTCGGATCTGGGGTCGGTCCTTGCATATTGTGTGCTTGTTTCTGTTTGTACATCTAGACCGGATGATTTAATTTGGGAATCGCGTTAGCTCATTGCATTTTCCCTCCCTTAGGCAAGTCACATCACAGCTACAATGGAGCGTGATAGCGATCTGCGAAACGACTTTAAATGCGCATGTTCTCCGTGCGACGGACGATTATTGGGTAACAGAGAGTTAGTTCACCAGACTGACAACACCCGACCGACAGCCAACGGGGATCATAGACAAAAGCGGACTGTGGAGATTGAAGCTTTGAAATGAGCAGGGGTGTGAGTGAAAGGCACACACTACCATTATCTTTTTTATAATCAACTGTAAATAATCAATGTACCGTACATGCATACACACAAGTTGGTTGGATTACGGGCACCCAGATTGTTTATAAGAAACAGTACCACTTGACAAAACTGATAGGAGAAAACGGAAGAAAAAAACCGAAATCAGATTGATGCTTGAAACCGTTCACCCCATGCGATTCCACTGTGCAACATTTTCATGCTTAGAGTGACAGATGAAATTCCAATTGCATTTGCCATATGTGTATATCACAGTTTTGATCAAACATGGGTGCCTGTTTGACCAAGCACGAATACAAGGCCTTTTTTGGAAAACCTCTTCGATCGTTTGGTTAGTTGGTTGGTTGATAGATAGGTTGATTGCAAGACCAGATCGTATCGGGAATGGGATGAACGTGCTCGCTCCGACAGCCGATCGACTGAATTCGAATCGATTGGATACACCGGTCGGGTGTTTCTATCAGCGCATAGCTAGATCATTATTCGCCTTGTATTAGATATATTTTATATATCATACGGATAAATAAGATACGCGTCCGCTGCTTACCACTGTCGTCAATCTCCCTTTCAACAGAAGCGGAGTTTGAGTGAATCGTGATTAAATCGATGGGTTAGCTGGTGTAGGTTCATTGTATATGATAAAACTGACAAATATACCAGGCAAGTAAGCATGTTCATACGTTAGTTCTTCATTGACTTTTTGATAAGCCAAATGACTGAGTCAGTGTGAATGTCAGTTGCATGAGGCATACTGGGATCAGTGCGTGAATAATCTCTCATGACATTTTGCTCAGTCCCCGAACGGTTGGATAGATTCTTATCTGTAATCGGGGAAGATGTGTAACTGATCGCGTCTACCAAGTACGTGCCTTGGAGAACTGGGCATAAAAAAGCACAGAGAAATTACCTTGTGGCGCAGAATGAGCCTCGGCTAGAAGACATATGGAGTCAACTGAATTGACTATTATCATTCTGATGCTCCAGCTCTCAACAGTTTCACGTAAAGTCCATCGTTAGCTCGGGGAGGTTTCTATAGACCACAGAAGCTAAATCGCGAACAATGGGTCAGCCCCAGTCGTGAATGGCATGTATCACAACCCGGCAGATGTGCTCTCGAGAACAAAGGTGAGCAGTAGCCAGCACTTTTGCGTAATTGTTAGGGCCTAGGAATAAATATTTAGAAATTAGTTTGTCTACAGCTCATGCATGTTTTATCACTGAGTATTACCTTGCCTCTTGTGAGCTGCCTAATTAATGTCTTTGCCAAGATGAAAATCAAACCTTCGTCTAGCAATTTAGTCGGTTAAAACATGTTGACGTATAGCATCAGTGATCCGTTAAGGCACAGTTTTTTGCCATGCATATCAACAAATCAAACGTTTGATATCACCAAGATCATCATTTTTAAGGGAGCGAAACAAGCCCATCGAGTGTCAGGAGCATGAATTATGTACAGGCCCCGGTTCTCTGCGTGGATTGAGTTCAAATGTGGTATACTTCCGGCAAAATGAGCTAGTGCCGGATGAAGTGTATCATGTAGACCAACTAATACCTATGAAAGAGTTCAAGAGTGCAAGAGTTGTGCAGTCAATGTTTAAACCGTTCACGCACTTCAAGGAAAAGGTTGAATTTTTTTTAAATTATTTAATTCACTGTTTCCATTGCTTCTTGGGCAAATTTTTGAAGTCCAATTAAAGATGCCACAAAGATAGGTCGAAACTGTTCCCACTGAACATCAGTTTAATGCATCAGCAAAACAAAGCCCCCTTCCGCCCCCAAGTAGAGGTAAAAATAATAAATCTTTTTAGGGGTGAAAGGGGTGGGGTGGGGTAAAACCGCATCCCATACGGTTTTGTGTCACTAAGGAGACAGTTACATTGAACAATGCCAGTTAAAACATGCTATCACATCTACCTATACTTCGAGGTTCTTCGGAGTGCTTTTAACAGATCAATGTATGAACAATCCCAAATCCGGAATCCTAATTCGACACTGGTGTCAGCAGAAAGTACAAAGCCAGAGTGATGAACACCGTATTTAATTTTGAGTTTAGCTAACTATTCCGGAACAATGTATGATAAGATAGAAGATACTGAACTATTTCAATGTGACTGAAATTACCCTGTTCAAAGCACTATGGTATGCAACTGCAAAATCAACAGCGCTCATGAACTGTTGATGTGTACACAGTAGCATCCGGGAATTGTCACTGGGGACTGAAGGAGTTCAACCGATGTAGATATGCTCAGCCTTATTCAAATGGGCTTGTTTTCAGGAATTTTAGGTAAAGTTCAAGGGTATTTAGAGTATGAAGCTTGGCTCAGCCCATTCGTTTGTTCAGTTGCACCAGGCACTATCGATGAACTTGGGTGTGGGTTGCACTCCTTGGGAGACGACTAATTCCCCACAAGGTAATGCAATGAGAATGTTTGTGAAGATGTTTATCGATGATACCCAACATTTCCATCGCATTTGAATGCATTACACTGTGGGGAATAAACGATCTCCCAAGGAGTGAAACCCACACCCAAGTCAATCAAGAGTGCCTGGTGCATCTGAGAAATGGAATAGGCTAATACAAACTTCATACTCTAAATTGATTAAGTCATTCGCACAAAGTGATGACCGCCTATGTGTTGTAGCTCAGGGGTAAGGGTTTGAAGTCCTGACCCGACTGTTTGCGGTTCGAGTCCTGACTGGGACACAAAAAGAACACGCACACTGCTGACAAGTCCCAAACAGGACGAAACAGCTCTGTCCAGTACTCTTTGTTGGTCGTCACAAACATTTCCATCGCATCTGAATTCCAAGAAGACCCAGATACCGAAAACATCCAGTGCATTCTTGTCCGTGACTGTGAAAGCAATGTTCAGTTTTTTAAGAGCATGTCATCGACATCACTATCGCAAAATTATATTGCCCCTCCCTCGCTCTCATTTGTGTTAACATACGAATTTCGCGATAAATCGCTAACACCAACAACAAAGTGCAGAATAGTCTTAGCATGCCATCCGAATGTGTTTAACCCACCGGATGCATCCAGCAAATTTTCCATCCAGCGGATTTTTCATCGGGAGAGGACTTTTGAAGAAACAGAAGGTGTCCAGGAAGTAAAACCAAACGACCAGTCTGATCGTTGACCGTGTCCACCTTGATGCCTTGACGCTCATTGATCTTTAGATCGGTCTACAACACAGGCAAAAGAGAATATAACAAGTTAAAGTGACACGGACTATAAACAAATGAAGGTTTACACTGGTTGAACGAAAGTTTTGTAACCAGTGCTTTTTATCTCGCCTAGTATGAATACAATTCAACCTAGGCCTTGTATTAATCGACCGACTAATCGAACTATATATGTAAATGCCTGAAGCGACATATATAGAAAAGAAATTTCTCCGCGTTTCTACTTAATTCGGTATTACTTGAGTATAAAAATTTACTTGGTTGTTCAGAACCTGCTTCCAATATTTATCAAGTTAAGTTTATCGACCGATAACTATGATGCGAACGGTAGAATGCAATGGTGTCCACTATTCTACAGGATCACTGATTAGATGCGTTAAATCACTAACTTGACTTCCGGTAACGTGGTACTTCATCACCTTTGGACGTAAAATCTTAATTGGGTTCACACGAAAATATGACCACATTGCTATTTCTATCATTGTGTTTTGACTACTGTTCTTTAAATAGTAGTGTACAAAAGAAGAGAAAATAATTGTTTCTCTGCAGTTTTCCATTACACTTGCAGTTGCCAATCGCGTTGTATGATGCCCGATTCATTTTTATCGAGTACAAAGTATTTTAAAATAAATATTTTAACTGGTTCGGCTGTTTCAGTTGCAAAAAAAAACAAAATCAGTGGTCAGAACCACCGTTTTCATTCAATGAACTCATTTTTTCTTTTCGTGACACACGACCTCAGTGCTTTTGGCGCTGAAATATCCTTCAGTAATTTAAACTTATGTTCCGAGATTTAGTTATTCGGGAGCAGATTACTGGTTCCCCATTAATTTCAATGCTTGTCAACATACTTGTCCAAATGATTTCTTTAAATGCTTGCTCAATGAGAACGGGATTCTTCCGTTCAAACCTTGGACAAAACATTTAACTTAAAAGTCTCATCCAGAATCCGCTTGAAAATCAATCTCATGCGGGATGATTTGTCTTTTTAATAAGCAGGATTCTCTGCTTCCTTGAAGAATCATTCTCAGATTTACGGATGGAGCTGGCAAATTAATTGCCACAAAGTTGTCCTACAGCTGGTAAAATGTGAGGCAGTGACCAAGTAGGTAACAGAAATGACATCGTATGACACCGTATATAAATTTGTTCATCGGTCATTACTTTCCAAAATTTGGATCTCTGATGAAGAAATCCGGTAAAGAAAAGAATAACTTTGATAGATCATTCCCCACTAGGTCTCTTCTCGTTGAAAATTCAAGCTAGAGTTGGTCTCTGACTCTGAAAAGACTGTTTTGTTTTGTTTTTCAAACCTGGAGTGCATTGAAAGCTACGCAGTGCACTTCCGAGTTTGGAAGAATAGTTTGTCATTGTTGATGAATAGCAGCTACTGCAGGTGTCTATTTCCGGTCGTGGTTTGAAGTTTCGGGACTATTTCAGCAGATACTTGGAGCCGTAAAAAACCCTTTAGATCTTATTATTGTGCTCAGAGAATGTTTAAGGTCATTGATTCCCACAAGAAAGTGATGTTCACCCATTTATACTGGAATCTTAATCTTTCGAGTATACATAATTTTCATTTTGGTCGAGAGGAATCAAGCTATGTCGGATTACAATACTTCTATGCGCCAACGTAAATACTGAACAATCCCTCCGAATGGAGCTTTGGTTTTTTAGATCGAGCTCTTAGGGCACGTTTACCTTCTGTTCATAGTGTTTCGAGCAATGTGTGACAGGCTTCGGCTATGGGAGAGGCCGACGCACCCCGAATCTCGTTGTCTGTGTGTTTTTCTTTTATTTTCTTAGATGCAATTGTTGAAATAAGACATGAGTCCAGTCAGAATCTTTGCGGGCCGCGATGTCCGCAACAAGCTCGTTAGGATAGGTAGTGATAAATCGAGTAAGTTCCCGGGCTCAGTCCTCAGTTGGGTCCGTGATGAGACCCAACTAGATAGAAACAGCTGTACAGTGTTTCCATTGCTCAGTACACAATGATTTTCTCCTACAATTGAATCAAATCATCCATCACTCTCACGTAACACGCAGTTAAATTGTGAAAATTTCCATCCTAGTCATTACATATATATATTTTGAAAAGGAGAAGGCGGGCACTGAGTGACAGTATTTATTGTGACGTTTCGATCCAGACTAGGACTGGTTGTCAAAGGATAATACGTGTGAATGAATTGGGTCTGCTTGTGCCTCGCACTGTGGTTTGCGTGGTGCCTGTTTGCCCATCAATGCCGCGTTCATCATTGGTTGTACAATCGTTGCGTAATATTTATCAATTTCCACGTGTCGATTGAATGCATTAATCGAAAGCAGCGCTTCAAGGAACAGACGTTCCCCCTTCCTCTTTGCCCTTGTCACTACTTTTGCGTCATTGATTCTGACCTCGTAACCTGTCGTTCGGCCGTGGTTCCAGAGGTGTGACTTCGGGTCGGCGCGTCGTAGTGCGTGTTCGTGTAGGCGAATGCACATTTGTTTGCCTGTCTCTCCCACGTAGCGTTGCTCACAATCTAGGCACGGAATTGTGTACACCACCCCTGATTGATCGTGTGGTTTTACATAGTTTTTGCCGTTAAACAAGATTGACCGCAGTGTTGTTGTAGGTTTGTGGGCAATGGTGACACCCAGAGGGCGAAGGATGCGATCAACGGCTTCTGATACCCCACATATGTATGGTAATAAAAGTTTCGTTTTCTTCTCTTCGTCCTTCGGTTTTCTTTTTCCCCTAAGGCATGATTGGACGAAACTTTTGGGGTATCCACTTGTGTGGAATTGATGGAACAAATGCATTCGCTCCTGATGCCGAAGTTCCTTTGTGCTGCAATGTTTGTCTTCACGGCGGAAT